AAGCAATTATTGTAACTTTTGGTGCTTATTTCTAGCACAGAGTTCCTCAAATGACGGGCACGACGTATAGTTTCGGAGACAGAAAATAAAATTGCGATATAATGACCGGAAAACTTCTCAGTCCGGTCATTTGCGACTTCATTGTCATAAAATTTTTGCCCGCGCAAATGCATTCGCCTGTGCAGTAAAAAATTATATGTTTACTCCATGTGAGCCAGATTTTGATATTTCTAGAGAAGAGCTGGAAAAATTACATCGAAATATTTCTTAGAAGGCATGTTTATATCCTATAGTGGTTTGCGATATTCAACTTTCTTCTCACATTAATTGATGACACATCTATTCAAATTCGGGTTTAAAAGGTAAATTAGATAAAATTACGCACAAGAAACGTGCATTCTAAATAGGAGAAAGTAAGAAGCTGTGATTAGTAATATTCCATGAGTATTTCAAATTTATTTTAAAACATTGGCTATGAATGATTCTAACAGTTAGAGACTAATTATATATAGACTAATTATATTATTATTATTATTAGAGACTAATTATATATACTACCACCTGCGACTAACTATAGAACTATCACCAAAAATTTGATTAAACTTATTTTTCCGGTTCTAAATTTCTCCAAGTTTCTCTAATAAGTTTCAAAATCTCGATAGTTCAAAGAAGATTATGAGAAAGCTCATAATCTTATGGAAGTTTGCAGTAATTAGTGTCGCTTCTCAGGAATTACCTATATTTGATATCTAAGATATGAATGCAATTAAATACCTAACTTTGGCCTAGACTATTGTAGATATGAACTCCAACGCCCGCAATGGTTGTGATGATTATTAGATTGGAAATTCTTTCGTTTACGCCAAATTTAGTCAATTTGTGTTCTACTACATGAATCTAGAATGGAGAAATAAAGTATGTTAATTAATTTCTACTTCACATATATCAATTCAACTCAAAGTTTGTTCAGAATCCAAGAGCACAGTCTGGCCTGCTACGTGCCGACAATCGCTTCACCAGCCACGAACCATTTCTGACTTGCGAATTTATGTTTGTTGACCATTTTTATATTCTTTCACAAAATTGTATTGCTATTTAAATGCATCGGAGCTGTGCAGTATAGAACAATAAATCTTTTCGCTAAAAAATGCTTGGCCATTGCTTGCACATTTTTATGGGATTCTTGTTTTAGTGAGCGATCTGTCATTGCAGGAAAAAAATCTCTAACGGATGGACTAATAAATAGCAGTTCCAGGTATCCGGAAAATTCACCAGAAAACTTGTAAGCGTTGCAAAAAAACGACACAATAAGCTGCTATCCGGAAGTTAAATCCTGAATGCAAGTGTGCCAATTTGAACTTCCGAGGGAAGTTTGGCTGGCTGGTTGCGACGCGTCAAAATTTTTATTTAGACAAAACGCTTTTATTTGCGTTAATCATGGAATGAAAGTCTTATGATTTATATGACGATTATTTTCCAAGTAATATTGCGACATGAGTATGTCAAATGCGGCTTTATACCACATTTATTGGAACAATCTGTGACAATATTGACCCTAGTGACCCTATGATTACTAGCGCTTCAGCTGCTAAGCTATCTCGCGCCGTTGTGACAATATTGAGTTTCGACGAAAGATATATAAACTATTTCGATTAAAAACGGTTTCCGAAATTAATTGCATATGTAAAAATACAATATTTTGTATTTTTATTACCTGTTTTAATATTGTTAATCAAATTAATAATACAATATATAATGATGCAGAGGTAATCAATATAAAAATATTTCTATTAAAAATTGTTATTAATATATCCACAACATTTTCTGAAGCTTTTTCAATCTCTTGTAAAATTTTAAAATGAATGGATTGGAAATTATTGATGGATTGACAGTGTAGAACTAAGTACCTACTCATGTGTTCCTAAATTATAAATATACTTTCTATATATTTTGTGTTCCATGAGAATGCATGTCGAGCACAATTTACCTCTAATCATTTTAGTTAGCACCTCAAGTTTCTGTTTGGTGCTACTCGACTAAAGAGGTAAGGAAACATTCGAAACTGTCGCGTATATTCGTTTGATCAAAATTCGAATCCACACTTTCGACTGTCATGTATATTCACTTGATGAAAATTTTAAAACACACTTTCGAAAAAAATGCAGAATAAGAATTCGTGTATTCCAATCCTTCATAAACGAATATCCGTGACATTACTCTAATTAAGTGCACCCGGTAAGCATGATTATTATTTTTCCAATAGCTTTGCTAGCTGATGTGATTTTCGTCATAAATTTTTTTAGAATAATCTGAATTTATGCAGTTATTCGTCTGATCTTTTTAATTAGGAGTTATATCTAATGGCTATAACTGACGATATATTTTTGAGTGTATAATTTAAGCGGGTCATTGACATTCAATAGCAATAATTTAGGCGATGAATGCAATCCGGAAACTCATACCCGTTGTAAGCGACGCCGGAAGTGAGTTCACAAGAGCATTAAATCGCCTAGATCTGACATACTAGATTTGACATATAACAGATTCATATCAGTAACCGACGCTCAATATTGGATCATGTATACAAGCCATAACACAGCTTATATATTGAGAGCCCGACAGCTAGCCAACGCTTAAAATAAGCAATAGTGTAGAAATTATTACCCACTTTACATTGCACGCCTGTGGTTGAGTGCGTGGCAACTCGACGTCAAAAATAATTGCTCTATATTTATTAAAAACTAAACTGTGTGCATTGGATGCGTGATATGTTTTAACGGAGCTTGGTTCAACAAAATTAAAGTGCCGGAAGGAGTTCGCCAAAGTCTGGGAAATTGCTTCACTTAGCTCTTAGACCGAACTCGGTTGGGCTATGCATTTTGTCGGCTTAACTGTAGAGAAAAGTGAGTATTACTGATAAGAAGTTTGAATTCATTAAATTATGATATTATTAACAACGTGAATGTATAATGGAAACAGGCAAAGTAATATACTAACTTTGGGTCGGAATGCGCACAAATAATGGGTACATTGTGATGATTCATGAATCATATAATGGATGATATATATAAATGAATCATGAATCATATATGTATGATTCATTTATAACTATTTAAAGTGATAAAATCCTTTCAAATCTATTCACCATGATGCTCCATAGCATGATCTTAAAACTCAAGTGATTTAAAAATAATACATACATAAAAATATCAATGAGCCGTACCAATTTAAACCTTTCAATGCATGGTATTGCTGCTTTTCAGCGCATTTTCTCATTTATGGAAAAAATGCCCTATTGTGCTCACAATGTCCGTCTGTCTGTCCGTCCGTGACCTCACGTTTTCGTCGACAAGAAAATGCGCTCACTGTCACTTACTGCAGTGAGTACTGAGTTTTATTTTTTTACACATGCTTGCGTGAAAAAATTCATGTACATTATATAACAAAAATATCTATTATTATTTGGTTAACAAAACTTTTTGATCAGCGCCCTTAAGTGACTGATCGCTCTGAAAACAAATGATCTCAAGTTCAAAACTGAAAATGTTTATAATGATTTTAGTCACTTTTTTATTCAGTTTCTTTATCCGACGACTATGGTGCAACCTAAAACTGGAAAACTGATTTTCCGGGAATGTTTACAGTACTTACACAATTTGTGTAATGTTGACCGAATAGTTCATCATAACAATTTAGAATAAATAGTTCGTTGTACCACAATTGGCATCATGGTTCATGGTGATATAATGTGGAATTAATTATTCATAATATTAATGTAGATCTAATGATTCATCATAATGATGTAGACGGTTGAAATAACAGTAGAATGCGTTATGGGATTTTACAGCGTAACTAACAGCGTTTTTTCTCAGTGTTGAAACAGTAAATGCCATTTACCAACTCATAAATAAAAAAATTGAATATATATCAATGAAAAAAATATGTTTCAAACCAAAATGGGTGCCATCGAATCTTTGAATCACATATGAGTTTTAATCCTTTCACACGTTTAGGCAGGCTAAAAAATAATGGGATCATGTATAAATGAGCTCTAGCTTACTCGTGAGTTAAGCAATTTTTCTAAAAAATGTAAATACAGATTTATGGATATGTAATTTCATATTTTTAATTACTTTTCAACATTTTCGACGACGATTTTAGCAAGAACAAAATCATGTATACGCATGGCAGTGTGCGGCAATTTATTATAGAATGGCATTACTTCGCCGGAAACCGGGGAAAAATAATTTTAGTGATAGTTATATTTATAAAATTGAAAAAATTGTTTGATCCTAAACTAAATTCTTACGACAGGTAGTTTATATGTAAGTTGTTACCTTGATAGCTCAGATAAATCATACATGGAACACATAAATTGAAATTAGAAAGAACTGATACAACGCCATCTTTAAATTTATTTTGATTTCCACGATTCAGTTCAAACATGTGCGCCTATTTCAAAATGTAAAAAGCACAATACAATACTTTTCAGCATATTAGCTGAGACAGATTTTTACACAAATTGTTAAAAAAAATATATTTTTCTAGCATAAAAAAATTTCTATTTAAGAGCGTCACGAAATAATACAGAATAAATGCAGATTTTATTTATTGGGGTTTGGGAAGCTATTTATATAATAAAATCGTATATTAGTTATAAAGTTTCGTAGCTTTTAATGCGGCTATTTAATTACATTTTAAAATCTTTAAGACTTTCAGGAACAACATTATTATGCATGACAAGTTTCCATTTTCTCTTATCATTCCAGTCAAGAGTTTAGACAATGTAAATATATCACATTTTTCACCAAGACAGTCGAACATTTTACTCACCGTCTTGACATGGTGCAGGAAGATTTTACTCACTGCCTTAATATGGTAAAAAAAAGGTTTTTACTCAACATCTTGGCATGATGCAGAAAGATTTTACTTTCTGTCTCAACATGGTATAGACGGATTTTACTCACCACCTTAACATGGTACCGAAGGAATTTACTCACCGTCTTGGCATTGTACAGAAAGGCAGTCGATCCACTGATCCCATTTGGTTAGATGTTGGCAGGTCCAGAAGATCTGGGAAGGGGCTGCTGTAGCCAATAAGAGAAGTTTGTGAGCTAGTGAAGCCGCTCGACCGAACGAAACTAGTTTCTTTGTAAATTTCTTTCAGGAGAGGATCAGCCTCCCCGGACTCTGATTTTGGCATCTCGACGTACGAAACGGTCTTGGAAATGCCTTTGAGCCCCAAAGTGTTTTGTTTATCGTTTTTCCCCGGAGTGGTAGAGTGGGGGTTTGGAGGGTTTAGTTTTTCGAAGATGATTTGATCACCGCTGCTATCTTTACTGGTGATGAGGCTGTTCTCGTTCACTACTTTGAACTTATTGAAACTTTCTGATGTTGGCACAACATGATAATCAACTTCACTTTTCATTCTACTTAGTTGACTATTTTGGTCTCTTACAGATACTTGTGGACTTCCTTGAATCGTATTAGAAACTACTTTAATAGGCATCCGATTTCTTCGATTTCTACGGTATAAAATTGTACATGATATTGTACAAACTAGTAGAATAAAAACTATACTACCGAAGAGAGCACTCGTAACAAAGACTTTATCTAACGCTATGAGTGCAGTTTCTTTAATTCTATGAGAAACTTTCAGGGTTAAGTTCGTCTCGACACGCCCTGCTTTATTTTCTGCAACACACCGATAAATTCCTTGATCTTGAACAGCAGCCCCGGCAATGGTCAAGTTCGAGACTCGGGCATCTCTTTTAGGAGCCACTAACTCAAGCACTCTGTATCTGTGGTCCGTCTGCGCCGAGGTGTTTATGACGGGCCTATCGTCCCATAACCAAGTTACTGCAGCATTTGGATCCGTTTCCACTCTACAAGCAAGCGATACATTGTCTCCATGCGAGGCTAGAACTCGCTGTGCTACAGCTGTCACAAGCGGCACGCATACAAACTCGTCTTCTCCGAGGGTCTGCCAACCTCGGCCTTTGAGTCTTTCAGGGCTGTCGCAATGAGGAGGAATAGACGCGGCCACATTGCGTTGGAAGAGCCACTGACGCAAAAGTCGTAAATGGCAGTCGCAGTGCCAAGGATTGTTATCAACATGAAGCCCGTGCAGAGCGACCAGAGGCTTTAGAACGTTTACCGAGAGAGTTGTCAGATGATTACCCGATAACTTTAAAACCTCAAGGCGTGATAATGTTCGAAACGCTTGTTTGTGGATTGCGGTAATATTATTATAACTAACATCTAAACGGACGAGAGAAGGAACCGAAGTAAAGATTGAAGCTTGTAAAGGGCCTAAATTATTACGAGCAAGGTAGAGATTCCGTAATCCTGATATGTCAGTGAGAGCAGCCGTCGGGACTGCGTTCAAATAATTGTCGCTCAGGTCGAGTTCGACTAAATTAGCAAGCTTCTCAAAAGCTCCTTTTTCCAAGAGCCTCAACTGGCAAAAATTCATCCATACTTTTTGAAGGTTAACCAAACCCGTTTCGATGAAAGCCCCTTTTGGGAGTATTATTAGTCTATTATTTCTCAAATCGAGAACTTGAGTGGTAGGATCGAGCCCTTTTGGTATGTCGATAAAATCCGCGTCTTGACAGTTGACGTGCTCTTTTCCGTCCCTCCATTTGCACTGGCACACAGTGGGACATCCAGCCAAAGCTTGTCCCAGAAGCCCACAAGCGAGCAAGGCACAAAAAAACCAACCCGGTGAACAAGCCGCGTCACGGTAAGCGATGTTGATCATGTCGACATCGGATCGCTTTGTTAGGCAACATTGCTGCCGGAACAGTTTGTTTGTAATTGTGCGTTTGACTCTATAAGCAACGCCGTGGTTTATTTCAAGTTACATCATTTGATTTATAAATATTCTGCACTCACTTTTTCCACATCGTTGGTTTCATTCAAGCGCCTGATGTTATTTTTGAAAATATTTTTCATCAATAAATGAATATCAGATATCGTATATATTAATTCTGTTTCTTCTTGTTGTTTATGAATATATGTTGCTAGATTTGTTAGGTTCATTTCGATTTACTGTGATGTACCAACCAGCAACGTTGTTTTTACAACTGCCTTCCAGTTCACAATTGAAGTTTAGCGTCGAAAAAAAATTGGAACTGATCGTTGATAGGAGGAGCTTGTCCGTTGGTCGGCAAGACACTTGCAGAAACAGCATTCAAACTCGGTGCACACAATCTTCTTGCAAAGAATCTGCACAATAAAAAAAATTATTAGTTTAGCAGGATTGCACCGTGGATATTTTTTTTTCGTATTATATATAAGAAAATGATACATGGCTATTAGATTTACATAGCGAATTTGAGTTTTTCTTGAGCCTGAATAGCACTTGCAAAAGACGAATCCGTAAATCTCATTTTTCTATCATTTCATGCTTGAAAATAAATCTATAATAGCAAAAGATTCACATGTTTACATATATTTTAGCAGGTTTGATTGAAGAACAGAAAATTTGTTTTTACGACAGTTCCATGAAGATTGTAAATAAAACTAATTGCCTGGTCTTCGATCAAACCTTCTGATTAGAAGTTTTCTATTTATGATAGATTTTCGGCCCAGATAAATATCGGAGCAAAATACCACATTATATTTATTAATTAAATTAAATTTGATGTCAGTGATTTTCTGCTTAGCACATTGGACATTGCCCATTTGTTTCAAGTAAACCAGAATTTATTGCCGGTCTGTATCGGATGGATGTAGTACACAATAAGGTATGAGTTCCATTAGGCAGGCGTGTGGTTATATATCACTTCCATAAATTTAGTTCACTATCACAATGCAATCCTCACAAGACTCGTGTCAGGCAAGCCGTAAGAATATTTTATGAAACAATCACATAAGCGCGTGTGCATCTAATGGCTAAATCAATTTCTTTACAACACACATCAAATTTACTTTGACAGGAGAGGAATGATACGAACTGAAAATTATTGCGATATTTATCGTTCGTTAAGGAGCACAAGCAAGACCTCATTACTGCAAATGGAGGTCGGGTTCTCTTCACTGGCTACAAATTAGGCGCACATCACTTCAAACACAGTTACCTTAGTTCCTTCTTTAAGGTTTTCGTAATTCGATCCTCAAACGAAGATCATTGGAAGGCATCGCCAACAGAAATGATGATGAATTTCATCGAGCATGCGCTCGATGGGCTATTAGTCTTGATCGCTGCTCGAACGCCCTCTCATTTTTATCCATTATTATAGAGGCGCGATTACCTTACGAAGGACTTACCCTAAAACTTGGCGTAAAAATCGGCGCGAAAGTTTCGCCTCATCAGTCATCGGGACCTATTACGGAAACGATCGAAGACGCTGGTCCTTTGCTGGCAACCGCAACTTTTTAGCGCTTTCAGTGGATTTGACGTCTGCTAAATATGCCTAGTATAAAAATAGAAAACAGCCCAAATTTACAAACAAAAATTTAGGAAATTTCGAAAATCGTTTGAATGCTTTATTGAAACCAGAGGTTTACTGCATCGATTGATACTTCGTTTAAAGGAATTATAATTATATTGCAAAAAAATAAAACAGATCTCAAAAAGCATCAAATACTGATTGATTGGAACTGATCCTTCAATAAAAATTAGTGCAGTGGACGAATATTAAACAGATTCATCAATTTAGTATTCCAAGTATTTATTTCATTTGATTCATTCATATTCAATTGGGCGTGAAATTCATTGAAATTCTTTGTACAGTATCTTAATGAGATGCGGTGTTTGCAAATGTCTTCCGTTATGATTTTCTACACCGTCCTGCTGTTAAATCTTACCGACGGATGCTGTTCTCAAAAAGTTGTCGGAAATGAAACCCATGAAAAATATGACAATCATGCTAAATGTATTTGAACTTGATTAAGTTCACTTGGGATGACTTAATTTATGTATTTTTTGCCGCTTCAACTTCTAATGGTCATCAGTTAAAAAATCTTCATAATTATATGAGTTCTTTTTTTTTTATTAGCCAAACAGGAAACTCGTATGCCAAGAAAATGAGTCGTGTATTTTATAATCCAAAATATAATTTAATTACTCCAAATTTATCCGACTTATGCAGATTTGGTAGTAAAACAACGAACAGTACTACAGAATGCTACATTATTTCAAGGTTGAAAATTCAGCTTAAGTGGTTCCATAGCTTTGAAAAGAATAAATACAGCGCATCAGGAACCGTAGGACAAAATTAATCGTTTCAGAAGTTATATGAGTCGAAGCACCTCGCTTACAGCAACCGCGTGTTCATTATTCTTGCCTGTCTTGACTTGCGTCAAGATTTAAGACTTAAGATTAATATTACGCAAGATTTCTATGCCCGCTGCAGCTATGCAAGCTTCCTATGTAAATTCAATTCCACCAGAGGGAAATATTTTTTCACTCATTAAATTATAAGCTCGTTTGCTTCCGCGCACTGACGATGCGTTGGACGATTTAATTGCATTTCCACGCGTGCGTCGTCGAGGAAACTTGAATGCAGTTGCGCTCACCAATTAAACCTCTCGGCGTGATTCTTTTGCAATTTTCTTCAGGATCTTGAGGTCAAACGCTACGACCGCCGCTTTAATGAGAATGCAATTATAATATGATATAATTGTATTGTAAAATATATAATTGCATTATAAATAATACAATATAATGAAATTATAATTGTTTAAATATAATTCAGTGTAAATTTTCAACTCATTTGGGCTCTCGATTTCATAATCATGTTCGTGTCACCATATTAATTTATTTTCCAAAATTTTAGATATATCCCCACTATTGAGCAAAATGAAAGTCGAGGTGCAGTCAAAACAACTAATATATCAACAGCAAAAATATTCTTTACTTATTTTAAGAAGATTGAATTGAACTTTCAGCAACAAAAATTATATACTTAGCAGCCTGAGCATTTTTTCTGATTTTTTTTTAACTTAACATGATATTTTATCAGCCGGTCATTCTTGTTTCATTAAATTTGAAAAATGAAGCTCCTAATTCCAACCAGAATACAAATTACTCGTCTCTCGGTTAGATAATTATATTAAGTTATTCATTGATGTATATGGTATGTAACAAATTTCCAATAAAATTATTCAATTAATCTTTTAATTAAATCTCTAAATACTGTTAATATACCAACAACTGCTAAACTATTGCTATACATTATTATTGCATCACTCACTGTTAAATTAAGGTCATCATAAAGTTTATTTGAAACACTCTCATGCTCTACAACTGAAGTAAAACCTACAGCAAATCCACCAGCCATGCCTCATCAATGTGATCAAAGGAGAACGAGACGAGTTCTACATCATAACCAGTAGACCTCCAAGTTATCTGTGTTCAAACCCCTGTGATCTCTTAAAGCAATCACTCCCAATTAGACTCTCCTTAATCGGACGAGATAAGAGGCTGTGTCTCATTAATCACGTGATGCTCCTGAGCCGCAGCATCCGCTCCAGGAGAACCTGAATTAGAAATTAAATGTTTGGATAGATTTCGGGATGAAAATTCAGTATGATATGGATTTAAATTGTTGTGAAAGAACTGAATTCCGAATAGAATAACTACAAATTTAAAAGTTAAAAAAATTTTCAGTGACTCTTGAATACGATCTTTATTTCAAGCCAGCAAGCAAACCAATTGAAGCCAAACTAGTAAATCAATTGGTTTTGTTTCAATTAATATCTAGGCCAAATTTTATGTGTGATTTTAGGAATAGACATAATTAAGTTAGGACATGACGTCCATACTTTTCTACACGGCGGAAAACAAAATATTTTTATTTGACCTGTTCAATGTGTATTCTTATTTGAAAAGTTACCTTGATTGCATCTAGAATCCGTTTGGATTTTCTTATGCTAATCATTATATTTAGCTCCTCGAGAACAATTTTCAAATTCGTATTCTAAAAAAATTCTGAAGCATTCCAGCCGCTGTCTTATTTTAAATATCTCGTCAGCAAGAATGACCTTCTGTCTTCGAAGTTTCCCGCGTTTGAAAAGTTAGGAAAGGCTTGTCGAAAGTTTTGTGCGCCTCCCATGGCATTCAGTTGGACTTGAAAATTTGGAAAAATTTATGAGCAAGGATCTCTTCATCTTTTTGTAATATTTCAGGCATGAACTTTTGAACTAAAATTTAAATTGGACAGTAAACTTAGAGCAGATAATGTTCACTTATCTTTATCGTCTACCCGCATCAAATAAAAAAAATTAGTAGTATTCATTGAAAAGATGAAAAATTTTCGGAAAAATAAAAAATTTACAATTTTTATCTATTTATCACGAACAAAGTAGCGGGCCAACTTTAGGCCACACTTTTAGTTTTCAGCCGTCGCACTTCTCCGAACATGACCCATGAAAACATGTATCAGACGCACCTTTCTGAGGAAGTGAGATTGATTAATCTGTAGCCTGGCTACAATCTGGACTTTCACTCTTACCTGGCTCATATAGCCTGCTATGTGATAGTGCTTTATCGGAAAATTCAGCTCTTATTTATGTGTGACGTTCATCGTTCGTATTCGTACGAATTTGGCTAGGCTAATTTTTTACATGGTCTATGTATTGTAAGCTTTAAAACAATATGATATATAGTCTTTTCTCCTTACTGCGTATTATTTTGTTTTAAATACTCGTATATGCTCTTGCCCGCGGGCAGAGACCCTAAATAATTTCGAATGTGGTATATTTGTCCCGCTACAATCTTATACAAAAATTTTATACAACGCAATGTATTATTTTATTCACTTTTATTCTGATAAGTTCAATGTTAATGTTCCCACTATATTTCACGGAAGCATGTAAAATTACAGTCATCACAGCTGGCATCGTAACATGATTTTCATCACAAATATCATCGTATCTTGCTGTTATCACAACTAGCATTGTAATATCGCAGTTTTGGTAATCAGCCTGATTGCCATAACAAAGGTCACCGCAAAATAATTAGCATCACAAAAATCATTGCATTATCATCGTAACACTCATCGTAAAACATGCTTGACATCACAACCAACATCATAACATGACTGGCTTTGAAATTAACATCGTCACATGATTGGTACAAATTAAAAAGATAAAAAAAATATACGCAACGCTGTATAGATATAGCGCTATACGAAGACTTTTCTTACACTATACTGTCCTATCTACTAATAAGAATTAAAATCAGTTTCTCGAAAATCATTCAGCTGAAAATATTGCTGAAA